AGAAGAAGAAGAAGAAGAAGAAGAAGAAGAAGAAGAAGAAGAAGAAGAAGAAGAAGAAGAAGAAGAAGAAGAAGAAGAAGAAGAAGAAGAAATGGATGTAGGTTCTGTCTAGTCCATCCGCTTGTTAACTCTGTGGGAAATTGTGGGCACGCGTCCTGTGGACAGCTCATGTGTTTCGTCCTGCCTCTTCCTCCACCGTCTTGCGATGATACTTCTCGCCGCGTTCACGACAAAGGTAAGGTTGTAGAGGAACGGGTTGATGGCCGAGTTGATGGGGACGATGAGGATGGCGGACCAGGCGTAGACCTGGTAACCCAGTGGGTGGCCCGCCATGGCGATCAGGCCCATGATTCCCACAGGAAACCAGCAGACGAAGTCAGTGGCGGCCACGAGGAACAGTCTCCTGGATATCTCCACGTCCTGGGCGCGTCTCATGGCCGAGCTGCTCGTCTGGTTAGCCACGCTCTTCCTCACCTCCACCAGCGCCCGGTAGATGACCAGTTGACCAGCGGCGATGAGCAGGAAGAGGAAGAGGTTGAGGAAGACAAAGACAGCCAGGGAGAAGCGGAAGCCTGGGACAGACCTGTCGCCCAGAGGTAGGCCGAGACAGACGCCTGTGAACGTGTACGTCTGCCAGTGCCGGAACGACGGGACAAACGGCAACAGCGCGATCGACAGACCCAGCAGCCAGGCCAGAGCACACAGCACGTGCACGTAGCGGCCAGAGATCCGGTACTGGCCGAACGGGAACTTGATGACCAGGAACCTGTCCAGAGTGACCAGCAGGATAAAAAACATGGATATCTCACTCGACAAAGTGGACAGAAAGCCTGCGAATTTACACACGGGACCCTGCTTCCAGCCAGTCTCGTGCATGAAGTAGATATTTCTGAAATAATTGTCAGCTGAGGCGATGATCAAGAGATAAACGCCCATGAGGAAGTCGGCGATACTCAGGTGAGCAACGAAGTGTCCGTAGGCCATCCTGAGAGATGAGCGGTCACACATCAGGCGGTTGACCACGGCCGTGAAGTTCCCCAGCAGCGCTGCGACGCCGATGAGCCAGAGCAGCACCCGCATGTACTCACCACCGATCAGGTCGGAGCAGGAGGAGAACGGGTCCACGGGCGCCTGGCAGCTGTGGAGCGTCTTGTGGAGCTGAGGACAGCACAGTTTGTACGTGTCTGCCAGCAGGGAACTGATGGTCACTCCGTCAAAACTGGCCAAAGAGTAAGCGATAGGAGGGGTCTGTCGAAGGTCTAAGGTAGCCATAGACATGCCCTGTGGGAACAAGCCTGGACGTATGGTAGACAGGTTAGTACCTCTCAGGTTCAGGTGAACTAAATGAAGAACAGGCAGTATCTCTAGCGTATGGACACCTGTGAACGACAAATCGATTTCCACCAACTTCCTCAAGGTACGAGGGATCCTAGCTACCGTTACATGTGGGTTGTGAGATATGTTTAAGTACCGAATTTCCAAAAGGTGGGACATAATTTCATCCATGTGCGCATTGTTGAGCGCGTTGTAACTCAAGTCTAAAGTAAGAACACTAACTAAATTTCTCCCTGAACAAATCTTGAAGTCCGGGTCGGCCATGTTGCAAGCAGACATGTTTACGTGCATCAGTTTCTCAGTGACGTCACAGAGGAGAGTGCTCACCCCCGCCGAGGTATCGATACCACTGATGTCCAGATACCTGGTCCTGCTGTCCACGAAGCTGAGGTCAGTGAGCGGCACGCTCGTGTTGTAGCCGGCCTTGACCAGCGTGCCGGACACACACAGGAAGCCCTCCCGGCAGCTGACGTCACAGCTGAGCTCATCGTCGCCCGCCGGACAGTCCCGGAAGTTGTCACACACGCGGTCAGGATGCAGACACTGGCGGGACATGACGCACTGGAACAAGCCCCCACAGTCCACTCTCATCACACTCTCGTCCTCCCCCAGGGGGCAGTCTTGGTGATAATCGTGGACATAATTCACAGGAATGCAGTAAGAATTAGGGCATTTGACATAACCCTCGGGGCAGACAAAATGGGAACAGTTCTGGAGGTGTTGGAAGTTCTGACAACCTAACACCCCACCTGTGGGATCTCTGAAGTAGACACACCTGGGCCCCCAGTTGGTCAAGCCAGAGGTGTCGTTGTCTCCATAGCACGTGCTGTGCTCCAGTCTGCCAAGCGTCTGGTCGAGCGGACCCTCAGGCCCCGTGCAGTCGACGATCTTGTCTCCCAACATGGCGCGGGTCACACAGTCGGTCCGGTTACAGCTGAACACACAGTCTGTGACGCCGTGACGCGCCGCGATGGCCAGCTCTAGTGAAGTGTCGCCCTGGCATGTGGAGCAGTCCGGCTGTCCGTCCAGGAACCAGTGAGTGGGCAGACTCCGACCGTCCGGACACATCAGCTCACCGCACGCGCCCGGTCCCAGCCACTCTCTCGGACAGTACACCGCGTCCATCTCTGGTGGGGACCCACCGAAGTAGTCGTCGTAAGGACAGTCGCGCGACCGGTCACGTAGTTGGCAAACACTTTCATCGTCTTGTGCCGGACAATCGCAGACCCCATCGCACACTTTGCTGTACGGTATACGATATTCGGAGCGGTAGCACTGAAAACGTTTCACGTCATTTGATGACGTCCTCGTCTTGTTTCGTCCAGCCGAGTAAAAAGAAAAAGAGATCTCTTTGTTCATAGAATCAGGCGGTGGAAGATAACTGGCCGAGCGAAGAACACCCTTCGGAAAAGTGTAGTCTCCTGAAAGTTGAAACGCGACTTCACCTCTCCTCAACGCCTCTTCTCTCTTCTCTTCACTAACTGTACTCTTCACCTCTATGTTCTCTTCTTCCACCATTTTCGCTGTAGCCTCACAGACAGCCATCGCGTCTATCTCATCCCCACAGCCCAGGCTCTTCCACCGGAGAGTGGACTTTGGACAGTCCGGCTTGTACGTCACACACGACCCAGCCTCCACTCCGACAAAATCTCCCTCAGTCCAGGGAGAGTAGACCAAAGGCAACCCGCTCACCCATCTATATTGCGCGCGAAAAACCCCGGACACTCTTCTCAGACCAATGAAAAAACGTTTGGATTCAGAGCACATGTTTGCTTTATTTCCCGTATTATGTTTCAACAATTCCTTTTCCAAAAACTGTTTCTCATCGAGAGTTTCAATGCTTACCAAAGATGAGCTTTGTTCACCACACATCTTGTTAGCGCCGATCCAGTGGATTTTTCTCTCTGGTAGAATCTTGTAGCAAGAGAATGCCAGATGTGATGCACCGAGTGACCTCTTGTGTGGGTCAGATTTATCCCAGAACCAGCCAGGGTAGCACTTGTGGCAGACGATGATCGGGACCCCCTGGTCTATGGGCAGCTCTTCGATGACACTGAAAGCGACAGTTCCGGGAGTTTGGCGAGACAGTTGTGTGACAGATGGTGTCGAATACCTGTAATCCTGCAGAGTTTTCATGATGACAATTGTCAGTATTCTTATGTTGATCGTTGCGTCCACATGAGCATCGCTGGAGTTAAAACTGTACTGGCTGCCGTACAGATCGAAGACTACGACAACAATGACGGTGTTCCTGGCAGGGGTGAGTGACGTGTTCACGTGACCTACACTCACGCCGTGCACCTGACCTATATTGCTGGCCTGGCAGTGCGGCGGGTCCGGGTAACTGGCATTGTCAGACAGAAGAGCCTGCCGGAGATCTGTTATGTTGGAAAATTCCCCAAACCCAAAATGCACGTCCAGCCTTGTTGTTCCATTTCTCCGGCAAGACAGGGCCAAGGACACGTTCACACGCGTGAAGTCATCCGTTCGGCCGGAATTGAAGACCTCGAGAAATTTGCTGAAAAATTCCATCTGTTTCCCTAAATGGTCTCTATATTCTGTGGAGCCGTCCGCAACTAGCAGGAGGTCCAGCGGTGAGGAAGAGCAATCGTCCACCAGGGGGAAGAGCAAGTTTTTGGGAACATGGTACTTGGGTGGCCGAGGTCCATATTGGTTTATGAAAGGGCTTCCAGATTGGCAGCACGTTCTTTCGTAGAGCGAAGCACTGCAGCCTGTAGAAAAAAAACCCACAACAACAAAAGAACAACAAAAGAACAACAAAACAACAACAAAAACAACAACAACAAAACAAAAACAAATCCCAAACAGTGTAAACTTTCAAAGATAGTAAATTCTCCCGGGGATGTAACCAGATCTTTGGACAAACAAACACGAACGACATTTGATTCTACGTGTACTTTCTATGAGCTCACCATACGACATTTGCTTCTACGAGATTTGATTCGTTTGATACAGCCCAGGCCGCCCAGCATTGTTCTTCCATGGAGGGGCAAAAGCTGCCACTTTGGCACAATTTGATCAAATCTCGCCCAAAACAAACAAACAACAACCATGTTTTATTTTGAAATATTTGATTAAATTATTGTGTCACCATGGCAACCTTTACCCCTCCATGGAGGAAAATCTGGCTGTCCCTGACTCAATTCGCCAGCCAGTGTGCACGTTTTTTTTTGGCTATTTCGCTCAAATAATAAATAGAATAATGTATGTAATACATTTCTTACTTTGTCAGATTTTCCTTGACCCTTACCTGGCAAATGTAACTGCGTGGACACAAACAACAGCCAGCTTGCAATCAGCTGTGTATGACGAGACATCTTAGCTGTTCCCTGAAAAAACAACAACACAACAATAACAAGCATTACATGTATAATAATAATAATAATAATAATAATAATAATAATAATAATAATGATAATAATAATAATAATAATGATAATAATAATAATAATAATAATGATAATAATAATAATAATAATAATAATGATAATAATAATAATAATAATAATAATAATAATAATAATAATAATAATAATAATAATAATAATAATAATAATAGTAATAATAACAATAATAATAATAAAAATAATAATAGTAATAATAATAATAATAATAATAATAATAATAATAATAGTAATTGTAATAATAATGATAATGATAATAATAATTAATAATAATAATAATAACAAAATAATAATAATAATCATAAATGACATTTATATAGCGCTCAAACCCGATTAAAGTACACAGGCTCTGAGCGCTGTACAATAGGCCCCTACTGTACAACGTACAACAGTAACATAAAACGTTGTGTAAAGAAAGTCAAGTTGTTCCCACATCCGATCCGGACATTGGGGATTGCCTTGTTAGTGAGACAACTTCCTGGGCCTTGGGCATATTGTGGTAGGGTGGCCAGTTCCTTTCCACGCCGCCTTTACTTCCCCAACTCGAAGTCAGGTACCCATTCCTGCTGGGTGGGCAGGAGGGGGCATCCATTACACGTATAGCATTTGTATAACAAGAAACAGGAGAGTCAGAGAATGGGTTGCCGATGGTGGCTACGAGTACTTTGTTCTACTTTGTCATGGCTACCTCAGTTCTGTTCAGACGCTGTGCAGGTATCAAGCAACAATCACAATCTTTTCTTCCAATGCTAGAGTGTGTTTTTTTCCTCACATACCAGTCCCATCTCACATACCTGTCCACGTTTGTCCCATCTCACATACCAGTCCCACCTCACATACCTGTCCACGTTTGTCCCATCTCACATACCTGTCCACGTTTGTCCCATCTCACATACCTGTCCACCTTTGTCCCATCTCACATACCTTTCCCATCTCACATACCAGTCTCACCTCATATACCTGTCCACGTTTGTTCCATCTCACATACCTGTCCACGTTTGTCCCATCTCACATACCTGTCCCATCTCACATACCTGTCCCATCTCACATACCTGTCCCATCTCACACACCTGTCCACGTTTGTCCCATCCCACATATCTGTCCCATCTCACATACCTGTCCAGGACTGTCCCATCTCACATACCTGTCCCATTTCACATACCTGTCTACGTTTGTCCCATCTCCCATACCTGTCCCATCTCCCATACCTGTCCCATCTCCCATACTTGTCCCATCTCCCATACCTGTCCCATCTCCCATACCTGTCCCATCTCCCATACCTGCCCCATCCCACATACCTGTCCCATCTCACATACCTGTCCACGTTTGTCCCATCTCACATACCTGTCCCATCTCACATACCTGTCCCATCTCACACACCTGTCCACCTTTGTCCCATCTCACACACCTGTCCACGTTTGTCCCATCTCACATACATGTCTCATCTCCCATACCTGTCCAGGACTGTCCCATCTCACATACCTGTCCCATCCCACATACCTGTCCCATCTCACATACCTGTCCCATCTCCCATACCTGTCCCATCTCACATACCTGTCCCATCCCACATACCTGTCCCATCTCACATACCTGTCCCATCTCACACACCTGTCCACGTTTGTCCCATCCCACATATCTGTCCACCTTTGTCCCATCTCACATACCTGTCCACGTTTGTCCCATCTCACATACCTGTCCCATCTCACATACCTGTCCCATCTCACATACCTGTCCCATCTCACACACCTGTCCACCTTTGTCCCATCTCACACACCTGTCCACGTTTGTCCCATCTCACATACATGTCTCATCTCCCATACCTGTCCAGGACTGTCCCATCTCACATACCTGTCCCATCCCACATACCTGTCCCATCTCACATACCTGTCCCATCTCCCATACCTGTCCCATCTCACATACCTGTCCCATCCCACATACCTGTCCCATCTCACATACCTGTCCCATCTCACACACCTGTCCACGTTTGTCCCATCCCACATATCTGTCCCATCTCACATACCTGTCCAGGACTGTCCCATCTCACATACCTGTCCCATTTCACATACCTGTCCACGTTTGTCCCATCTCACATACCTGTCTCATCTCACATACCTGTCCACGTTTGTCCCATCCCACATACCTGTCCCATCTCACATACCTGTCCAGGACTGTCCCATCTCACATACCTGTCCCATTTCACATACCTGTCCACGTTTGTCCCATCTCACATACCTGTCTCATCTCACATACCTGTCCACGTTTATCCCATTTCACATACCCGGTGGCTGTCATATGACCGTATGCAGTAGGCAGCGCCGTAAAACCTCTACTAAATTTTAAAAAACAACATATCCGGCACCTGTCCAGGTGTGTCCCGCTCACATACATGTACCTGTGTCAGCTCCAAGTGTGTCCCGCTCACATACCTGTGTCAGCTCCAGGTGTGTCCCGCTCACATAGGCCTACCTGTGTCAGCTCCAAGTGATGCGAACCTCGCCCTGACATTAGCCTGACACAAAGACACAAAGACACACAGAGACACAAACTCTCAGTCCCGTCCCGACAGAAACCACGATAAATTGGAAACGATTACGTTTCCCTGGCGATTGTTCAACTGATATGATCGTGAGCATTTTTGGTTTTTGAGGTGCGGTGTTTTTTTTCCCTCTTTAAAAAAAAAAAAAATTTTGTTTGTACTCTTTGGCAAGATATCCGCGGTGTTAAAAGCCCATAGATCAGCGCGTGGTGAGCATTGATAGCCTTATCTCTGCGAGTGTGCCGGCGCTCAATAGCCGACATTGTATCGTCTGATGGTGACGCCTCGCACAGCCCCAGGGGAGCGCGCCGGAACTGTGGACCTTGTTTTGTTGGTCGTGGGGAAATTGCTTGTGTCAACGGCCAGTCCCACCTTCCCTCGCGGCACACCTGACATATAAGGATGGGCGGATGGGAGAGATTGGTTGAAAAACCCCCAACCCAAAACATTAAAAAATAAATAAAATCCCCCAACTTTTTGGGGGATTAGCCGAAGAGCTTCCTGTTACATGGTGTATCAGCCCATCTAACGGACCCGGGGCAAAAAGGGGGCTTTGTTGACGCCCACTCTCATCTTTCTGTCCTTGTTTGTCTGTCTGTCTGTCTCTCTTTATCTTTGTCTCTTTGTCTTTGTTTCTGCCCCTTCTTTGTCTCTATCTCTGTCTCTATCTATGTCTCTCTCTCTCTCTCTCTCTCTCTCTCTCTCTCTCTCTCTCTCTCTCTCT